CACAGGATGATGATTGACACCCCAGTGAGATTTCTTCACTCCATAAAATGATGTGCAATTTAAACCTTAGGGGGTTGAGGGCTGAAGATGGAGTTCAGTAGAAAGGCACTTGCCTATCGTGAATGAGGCCCTGTGTTCGATTCCCAGTACTGTCCACCCCCAAATATTGTAATTTGCTTCCACTTAGTATATTTGGGCTGTGTTTGACAGATACATAAGACTACAGAAAGTGTTGGGTGGTGGTGGCACACGCCTTTAATCCCAGCACTTGGGAAGCATAGGCAGGCAGATCTCTGTGAGTTCAAGGCCAGCCTGGGCTACAGAGTGAGTTTCAGGAAAAGCTCCACAGCTACACAGAGAGAAACCCTGTCTCGAAAAACAAACAAGCAAAAAATCCCAAAAACAGTAACAAACAACAACAAAAAAGACTTTATGTGACCTGAACACGGACAAACCAAGTGGAGATACTTGTTCTGTAAATGTTGATCAGACCCTCCCTACTCCAAGAATAGAGATGGTTGAATATTCCTAAAGCTAACAGTCACATGAAGAAAATTCAAGTGGAAAAAAATGTTTATCATCTTAGCAAACTATGGGAAGAACCTCTTTAATTAGACCAAGGGTGACTTCAGCTACAAGCACCATTCAGAACACTGCACTATTGACAGTTTCTCCTCAGATAAGATAGGGTCTACTGTCAGTCATCTTGTGCACCATTGTACAGAAGGACATGGCCAGTGTAAACAAAGAGGGAAAGAAAACAAGAAAGGAGTAAAAATCAGTCAAGGAGTAGGACTTTTATCTGCCATGACCTTGCCCATAGCACATGCCAGGGGATATTCAGATATATGAGCTATAGATAATGAGGAAATTAAACAAGGTCCTTGTGTCAAAGGTCACTTTATAACCCCGGGGTTAAAACAAAAAAACAAAACAAAACAAAAAAAACCAAAACCAAAAAGCATAGATTATTTTGAGAGCGATATTATTTACAAAAATCCTCAAGTTTGCATAAGGAAAAATACATTTTCAAGAATTTTGTCTATACAACAAAAAAATTATGTAGAAAAAAATGTCACCACACAGTAGAAAATCTTCTGGTTTTTAGGAGATGCAAGCTCAAAGGGATGTCAGTTTCCCCTAAGCCCTCAAGTAGTGGAATCTCAAAATCTAGTTATTTAATGGAAATGGACAAACTGAATCTAAAGTGTATATGAACAGTAAACAGGTTAATAATCACCAAAACTCGCTGTAAAACTGCTGAGAGTGGAGGCTGGCAAGTTGGCTCAGCAGTTAAGAGTGTGTGCTGTTTTTGCAGAGGACCTGAGCTTGGTTCCCAGCATCCACATGGGGCAGCTTACAACCACCTGTAACTCCAACTCCAGGGGATGCAACATGCTCTTCTCAACTCCCTGGGCTCCTGCAGTCATGTACACATACACACATGATACACATAATTAAAAATTTAAAAGATGTTGAATGTGGTCACTTAAACCTTCAATCCTGGCTCAGGATGCAGAAGTAGCAGTGAGTACCATGACTTCAAGACTTGGGTGACAAGATGTGTGCATAGTGAGACCCTGCACCAAAACAGAATAAAACAATTTCTATCCATCAGTGGCGAGACCTGTTAGAAAGTCACAGAAATTATGGCATAAAAGTTGACCATGAGAATAGAATAATACACAGGTCTCCGAAATGTGGGCCACCTGACTTAACAAGTGGCACTCAAGTAGGGGGAAAAGATGTCACTTCCATTTAATGCTTTGTCAGCTGCACTGTATATTAGAACAAAAAAACAGAAAAACCAAATTAAGACAGTTGGTTTGTGAAATGTAAAATAACAATTTATGAAAGCAGAAGGGACATTTGTGGTGACCATTCTTAGTGATCCCAGCACTTGAGGGTAGAGGCAAGTGGAGGTCATTTTGATCCACATAGCAAGTCCCAAGCCAGCCGGGACTACATGATGAGACCTTGCCTCAAAAAAATTAGGAGATTTTGTACCTTTCAATGTTCCAAGCGAGATTGAAAAGGCATTAAAGCAAAAAGTTTAATTTGGGTTATACTAAAGGAAGTGGGGGCTGAGGGCTGGAGTGGTTGCTCATTCCTGAAGAGTACTAAATGCTCTTGAAGGGCACCTGATGTGGGCATCCACAACCGCCTGTAGCTCCAGTTCCAGACCCAACACCTCTGGTCTCTGCACTCACCTGCACATACACAGAGATACATTTTTTTTTCTGGAATATATAAAGAACACCTAATCAACAAGAGGAGAACATGAGTAAAAGACATGGCCATCCACGTCACTAAAGGGAAAAAATGCCTATGCAGCAACCTATGTGTGACAAGATGTTTTAGTTTATTAATAATCAAGGGGTTATAGGTTAAAAACACAACCACTGAACTGGGAGATGTCTGCATAAGTCCTATGACCCAAACCTATGGTGGAAGGAAGAAAACCAACTCCTGAAAAGCTCCCCCTCTGAACTGCATATGTTGTAAGGTACATGCATGCCCACACTCACACATCATACATGGTAACTTTTTTTTTTTTTTTTTGGTTTTTCAAGACAGGGTTTCTCTGCATAGCTTTGCACCTTTCCTGGAGCTCACTTGGTAGCCCAGGCTGGCCTCGAACTCACAGAGATC